TCCCCGGCGCCCTGGTCTGCTGGCTCCCCCAGCAGCCCAGGGAGATGGGGAGCAGCTTTTCTCGCCCCGGAGGAGGCGGGCAGCGGGACCAGGCGTCCCGCCGCTCCTGTCCTCTGGGGCGAGAAAATCCCCATTCGTAACTGCGGATCCGACATAAGTCGGAGCTGCGTAACTCGGGGACTGCCTGTACTCATTCTCTGTGGCCCAGTAAAGGCACCCACTTCAGGCTCCTGACTTCTCAGCCTTCACCTCTTTTAGGTGGAGACCCATGTCCCTATCCTTGTCCCTCCCAAGAGGGATATTTCCATACTGCACAGCTCCCTATCTATGTTGTAAACTCCTCAGCAAAGCTAAGCTCCTTGGATGCGTCTAGATTGGCAAGATTTTGCGCAAAAGCAGATGCTTTTGCGCAAAAACTTGCCAGCTGTCTACACTGGCTTCTTGAATTTGCGCAAGAGCACTGACGTTCTAATGTAAGAATTCAGTGCTTCTTGCGCAAATACTTTGACTCTCCAGCTCAGGGATAAGCCCTCTTGTGCAAGAATATTTGCGCAAGAGAGCCAGTGTAGACAGGCACCTTAATTTTTTGCGCAAGAAAGCCCGATGGCTAAAATGGCAAAAGCACTTTTTGCGCAAAAGCATCCATGCCGATCTAGACGCTCTTTTGAAGAAATTCTTTTAACGGAAAAACTTTTCCGTTAAAAGTATTTCCGCAAAATCATGCCAGTCTAGACGCAGCCCTTAAGTTGCACAGTTTACCACTTCTTAGGGTAAAAAAGCAGGATCTGGCTGTACAGGGCTGTAAGGATTGGAATGTTAATTCTGGACCCCAAAGCAGGATTTGTTTAAAAGAAATGGTTTTACAAAATTGAATATCAATAGAAGCATGTAAGTATGATTTCTCAATGGAAATTGTTTAGCCAAAAGGACAACAAAAACAAAAGAAAAAGAAAACTTTTAAATCCTGCAGTGTAGAAAAGTGTGTTTTTCATTTATATTTTCTCCATTTCATGCAAGTTCCACTGCCCAAGGAGAGGGAAGTGTAAAAAGTCAACATATAGTATAAGTGGCTAGCTACTATTAATGTCAATTAAACTGAAAAAAACTTAATCTGTTAACCACATTACTAAAGAATTAAGAATTAAAGTTACTGAAATAATTATCTTGTCATTATCAACTGAAATTCTTTTTATGCTTTAACTCAGTAGTAAGTGTCCTAAACCTTTCAATCCTATAGTTTCAGAGCAGATTTTCTAGTTAAGGTGGAAAAACTCACAGCTATTTTAAATGAGTGTATGAATAAAGTGATTTTTCCATCCATTTAAAAGAATAAACAATTCCATTTTCACCTTCCTTTTTCTTGATTATTAACTCCAAAACCAGCAAAATTTGAAGATTTGAAATGTTCCCTATCTTACTGAGATAACTGACTGGAAACTAAAAAATTTAATATAGATAATTATTTGAGACATGTACAATAGACATTTTTCGCTATATTTCTGAGCTTGCACTTCCAGGGAGCTGGGCTTTGTGTGCATGCTGGTTTTCATAAGTATATGTAAATCAGCCACTCAGCCTTAAAGAGACACAGTCTTATTGAAATCTAGTCAGTTTTAAAGAGTTAAAAGTAGCTCAATGTATTAAACTTGCTCCTGAACCCCCCTGCCACTTTTTGTGATTTTTTACCATCAAAATTCCCTATTTTAAAGAATATTTATTACCTTTGTTACTGTGTTAAAGACCCATACAAAATGAAAACTGATTTATTACAGTTCAGAGGGAAAACAGTGAACTGTTCAACACAAAATGCTGCCAATTGCACAATGTAAACAAACTGAAAATATTGTTTTTCTTTAATATGTTTCAGACGTAATAATTTTAAAGTATTGTCACAATAGTAGGGAAAACTTTTTAGACAAGTGTATTTTCAAAAGTTGACACCCTTTCAGCTTAACTTTGATTCTCTCTTTGGTTTGCTTGTAAAAGGCTGTGGTAGGGATGTAGTCAAGCGTCATTGCTTGAACTGGCTCAGCTATACCAACAACAATTTATCCATTGCTGGAATTGAGGCAAATCATTTGTGAAGACAAGGCCAAAGGCCTTCACCTTCCAGTCCAAAAGTAGCTGGAATTCAGTGAAAGGTAAGGTGATCCCTTTATATGCAAGGCCCAATATGAAAGGTAAGGTGATCCCTTTATATGGCAGGGACCCCAATGCCACAGTGAGCTGGGGGGAGGGGCTAGTTCCTTAAGCAGACTGAACACTCTAGGTCCTTGTCATTAATGTTATCATGGTATCACTATTTGTGACGCTATTAAATATGTGCCATCACTTTTGATTTTAAATAATTATTTTCACAGGTTTACAACTTGACAGCAAAAATTTGTCCTCTAGTCTAACAGTTGGGTGCACGTTCTCAGCTTTGGGAGCAGTTACTTATTACTAAATTTCAGTACAATCTATTTAATGTTTTTTTTAAACTCAAAAACACTTACCTGTTTGAGATACTTTTTTGTTTGCTTGTATAATTCAAACTGAGATTTAAAACAAAATTCTGCAAGTGATGAGATGTGATTAAAATACCTTGGGCCAGGTCTACACTAGACCCAGCAGCTTGACTTAAGGTATACAACTCCACCTGCATAGAATATGGAGTTGCCTTACTTTAAGCCAAGTGGGAATAGCAGTTCATCTAAGTGACACAGCATTTTTAAAAACAAGAGATCCCCTTGCGAGTAGAGGTTGGGGGAAGGCAAGAGAAAGGCAACTCTATTGCATAGGGAAAGGGCAGGGAAGAAGTAAGGGGCACCCTGCCATCTTTGTAGTGTTGATTTGCCCTAAGATTTAGAGCCTTAAGGCAGTACATAAGGACTTCCTCAGATAATCATGACCCAGACCTTGCTGAAGCCAGGCCCAGCAGAGGTTTGTGGTTTATCTGTGTGGACATTAAAAGTCACCCTGGAAGACTTTGGCAAGTCAGTGCGCCACCCATAAGGGAGTTGACACAGAAGGTGGAATCTCTGATTATGGGGATCTGGGTTGGAAACCAAAGCAGGACGGTGGCAGTCAGCAGAGCTTCACGCAGAGCCTGGAGGGGCAGTTGACCACATGCTGGACAGCTCCCCCAAGCACTGAGGAAGTGACCTCCCCCATGCCCTGACACACACGGGTGGGGATCTGGAGAGGTGGCTAGAGCTCCTCGGGGCTGGGACAGCGGTGAGGGGTGTTGCTGATAAGCCCCCCCCCAGGATCCGACGACAGGCCTCGACTCGCTCGCTCCCATATCCAAGGGTGGGGAGGATTCATTTTCCTTCCGCTGTTGCCAGTGACCGGTATTTAAAGGGCCGTCGGAAGCGGAGGGATCCCTTCAGGTTCTAATACCGACCGAGACTTCTTTCCGTGCTCCGCCGCGGCCGCCCCTAACACTGGGATGGAGCCGGGACTTGTTTCAGTGTGATTGTGAATCCCTCCGCCCGGCTCATAAACAGCCTGGAGAGGTCATGGGAGTCGCCCCGCATCCTGTTCCTCTGCCTCGGGGGAAGCGCAGGCGGAGAGACCCATTCGGCGCTGCGCCGTCGCTCTGGGAAGTAGCGTGAAGCACTAGAAGGGATTTATTTTGAGGCGTATTCCTCCGCCGCGAGGAGCGATCTTGCAGGACTAGAGCTTGGCGTGTTCTTCCGCCGCTTTGGAGCACACGGACAGGAGGCGCCTCGCCTGATTGTGTGAGGCGGCAGCGGGGCTGGCAGGGAGAGACGGGACCTCGGCACGCGGTGGAGGCTGCTCTGAGTGCGCGAGCGAAGTGCCGAGGGGCTCCCCACGGAGAAGCAGGAGGCGGTGACCGTAGCGCCACCGCTCCGCAGGGTCTCTGTGAGGGGGCCCAAGGGACTCTTTCTCGCGGGGCCTGGCGGATGGATCTCTAGGCGGCTCTTCCCCCCACAGAGTTCGGCCCTTGCCGCCGCCATCTTGGATTTTAATCCGCCATTTTTCCCCCTGGAATAATAATATTTTTTTTTATGATTAATTTTTCTCCTGCTGGAGCTC